CGGCTCGGTTCGCTGACGGCCGGCACCACCCTTAATTCTTTAAACGGCATCATGTAAGTTGCGCTGACAGGCGACAGAGGTCCACAGTTGCCCCGCAGCGGGGCTCCCCCCGCCCTCCCGTAGACAGTTCACGAGCTCAGTCACTTCATAACACCAAAGATGGATCGCGGTAAACGCTCTAAAGTGAGGCTCCACTACACTAAAAAAGAAAAAGACAAGGCACAGTGTAATGCCTGTTAATAGCTTGCCACAGGCATAGCTCAGTTAAAATAAAGCACAGCTATTGTGCAATTTGTATTGCATGTGTATTTTTTATTTGTAAAAATGTCAGTTAAAGCTTAAATGAATAAAGATATTTTTGTTATCTAAACGTTTGACCTCTTTCTTTTACAATTTTGGAATCGAAACGGGGAATCGATAAGAACCGGAATCGATAAGCAGAATCGGAATCGGAATCGGAATCGGAATCGATACATTTCAAACGATACCCATCCCTAAATGTAACATTTTAAGACAGGAAACATCTGTAACATTACAGTGTTTTCCTGTAAAATCTTTAAGGACAATTCCTGTATATCAATTGCTTTTACTTTAATTTTATGGTTTTTGTTTGGCAGCCGCTGCTGCCAGTCATTTGACCGTTTTTTCACGTTTCTTTTGCCCGTAGAAATATTAGTGCTGTACTTTTATTAAAGGTTATTGACAGTAAAAAGAGCAGATAAATCTGTAAAATTACAGTGTTTTCCTGTAAAATCTTTAAGGACAATTCCCGCAAATTAATTGCTTTTGCATTTTATTTCAGTTAAAGTATATTACTAATTTAATGGTTTTTGTTTGGCAGCCGCTGCTGCCAGTACTCTGACCATTTTTTACGATTTAATTTTTTACAGTTTATAACTGGTGGAGCGTAAACACTGATGTTGGGTTGCAATTTCTTTCCAGTAAAGTGCAGCATTACTCGACACAGAAACTCAGCTAAAGTTGACTTTTACAAATCCAGTCTGTACTATCTTTAAAGGCTCTGTTTTCCTGCCTTTCTGACTACATTCTTGTGTAGGTGTATTGTTGAGCAGCTCATCCTGGCTGTAGAGGTGTTGACAGACAACAGGCCATGATCACCGCCTATTTTCATTACAGAAACACAGGAGTCCTCCTCCTTCACCTATGACCTCACCAATCAGACATGAATGTGTGTGTGTGTGTGTGTGGCTGTGTTTCACTTCTCTTATTTTTAATTTCCTCGCTCCTCGGTCTCGGTCTCACCGGAAGTTGATTTGTTTGCGCCATCTTGAGTAGCGTCCCAATGGCCTTATTTTTGCCGGAGGACCGAGGATCGAGGAGCGATAATGGAGGAGCTATAATCGAGGAACCACCAGACCATCCTTCGATGAAATCCTCAGACACTCGCCCCGCCCCCTTACTGTGTATCGCTCACTGATTGGACGATGCAGCGCATGCACTGATCTGTTGCTTCTTGACATGAGAGCAGTTTCCCAGCGGGGTGAAGAAAACACATGAAACTCATGAGAGTCACTCGCAATTTATACTGTGTTTTGTTTCAATGAATGCATCATTCAGTTACAAATATGTGATATATCTGAACAACAAAGTGGTCAAAAATCATTTTATTTATTTATTGGAAACATTTTCATGATCACTTTTTTCGTTTTACATTTTCATTTATTGTCATTCATTTCCATTCAGTCAGTCATTAAGTGCTATTTAAAATGTTAATTTGCTACATATCCACACAAACAAAGTGTGCAATCCAATGAATGTTAATCTAACTGGGTTTTGATAGATAACATATCTCTTTTTCTTCTCTGAATTATTTTATTTCTATTGTGCACTCTAATCAATATTAATCAAACTATTGTTCGTTTATACATTTTAAGAATGGCGTTTATCTTTTTTGAGAATGAGTTCTTATTTGATTTTATGTATTTGGGTCTACAACAGATGATACAAATGTTTATGTCAGTAAATGTGTACTAACAGAGGCGGTGGCGTTTGTGAAAACAACGGGGACAGAGCTGGCTGCTGTCAGACGAACAGCTGTGCAGCGTCATCACAAACGAACGTCGCTTCACGTGACGCTCCGGAGGAAAGGACGTCCCATTGCTCTTAAAACTCATTTCCCTGCTTCTCGTGGTTTCCTTGCGTCTCTCCATGCTTCCCTGGTGGGAGGGACTAGTCGCAGGGAAACGACGCAAGTGAGGGACGCAAGGATTCCATTTAACCGAAGTGAAACGCACCCCATGTGTGTGTATGCAGGGACTGCTAAAGAGAGTGTAGTTTCAGCTCTAAATGCAGAGGTGGGAAGGAACTAGTACTTGTACTTCACTAGAGTATTTCCATTTTATGCTACTTTGTACTTCTACCCAACCACAATTCATAGCTAAATGGTGTACTTTGACTCCACTACATTTATTTAATACCTTTAGTTACTTTACAGATGTGGATGAATGATGTGAAATATAATCAAGTCTTAAATCAGACTTTAGTTCCACCTGGAGTCAATTCACAAGCTACCCTGCAGTATACAAAGTCATTCAATCATTATAAAACATATCATATATATTATTCTGAAATGGACCAATCTGCACAATGAATACTTTTACTTTAAGTATATTCTGTTGCCAATACTTTTCTACTTTTACTTGAATAACATTTTCATTGCAGGACTTTACTGTAACAGAGTACTCCTACATGGTTTTACTTTACTTTTACCCAAGTACAAGATCTGAGTACTTCTCCCTCCTCTGTCTAAATGCCTGTTGTAAAGCCGTTGGTCAATAGACTGCTGAGACATTGATATCACTGGCTCATCTATAGAGAGATGCAGGAATGAGTCCTAAAACCTGGAAATGAGTCAGCATTTGACCACTTCAGGTTCCCTCGTCTAAATAACCGATGAGTAAATGTCCAAAGCTTGAATTTGTAATAAAACCTGCAGTTTCTAAATAATATACTAAACGACATCACAATGTACATTAGCCACCTTTAGCTTAGCGGTATTAACCAGAGTATCAACCATGTGACTGTGATGTTGTATTCTTATTATTAGTTAGCTTTTTTCTTCTGCTGAATGCATTTACTCTACACAAATCATTAAAGTGGTGTGAATATGTGGAGATTATTATGCTGAACAAAACTTGTGTTCATCACAGAGCCTATTTCCTGCAATATTCCAATGTCCAATGGAAGAAATCCCAATGCTCATTATCGAGGGAGCCCTTGTGGTAGGACATTGTAATTTGAAATAAAACTCACATTTATACCGTTACATTAGAAAGTAATAGTGCCCAATACAAATGTTTTAAGTGTAGGAGCACAGAGCTTTACACATTTTGTAAAAATGAAATGATAAAACTTTCGCATGGGTATCGTTTCAATAAATCAAACAAATGTCCCCACAACATGCCCACAATCAGTTCAGTTATTACTTTGTATTTACCACTAAAATCTTTGACTTAATATGTATTATTTTTCAGCTGTTTTGAGTATGACATGGTTTATGTAACATAGTGATAAAATAAATTACAAACAGCCTCCACTCTGTATTGCTCGGGTAAAAACTTTATTAACAAAACAGAAGGCAAAGCACAGCGTAAGCTCACTTCAACAGCACAGCAGCCTACATTACCCTTCTGTCCACCGCTAAAAGTGCCACTAGAATAATATTAATAACATCCATCACCGTAACGGTTAAATATTAAAATAACACAGCCACTCGGATATAATGCTTAATATATAAATGCACTCTATAGACCTTTACATCAACAGCTTCTACAGTAGGAGGACATCAGTCATGCTCTTCTCTTGTGTTGTAGCGCCATCTAGTGAAAGTTACAGCAGTAGTACAATCAGAAAGGGGGGGGTGGGGGGGGGGCAGCCACTTTGTAACATTTACATTCTGCATCAGCAATCTGTAATACTTACAATCTGCGAACAAGAGTTTTGAATCAGACTGAAGGATGGAAAGTGTTAGATAACAAGGCAATGAGGTTATATTAGTATTTAAAGGGAAATGCCACCTATTTTAGGAATTGTAATACAATCTTCCTTTGCCCCAGGACAGGTCAGTTATTCTTTACAAACATGCATCACTCTTTCTTGAAGCCAATTATACACCGACTTCAAAATATGACAATCATTTGACTACATCTCTGCAAGTTGATCACAGGTCTGAAAATGTATCTCCATGATTTGGAGCACAAAGAAGAGGGTTGCATTATCACGAGAATCTATTACGCTCGCCTGGGGGCAGAAATACATGAATTCTTAAAGGGTAATGTGATACCACATGTTTTAACCCTAATATATCAAATTTTGTACACTTTTGACAGAAATGTGCAAACCAAGCTGCTGTTTTATATATATCTGTGAGTTTCTATTTTCTTGAGTGCATGTAAAAACCTATTTGAAAATATTTTAGGTGAGAAATAAATTACAGTCAACATGGATCTGTATTATTTCTGTCAATCGTACATTGTCGCTGGTTGGGGATGTAGTGCGGACTGATCTGAAATGTTTTAACAGTCTGTACTTTTCATACTTAATGGAAACCAATAGCTTCTTGGAATTTTAGAAACAAGTACCTTAATATTAAACCCGGTTATATATATATGTAGCCCAAAATATAACAGTGTAGCATTTACGAGAGTTTGTAAAACTGTAAAGTGTACATGATTTGTTATTAAAGAGCTAAAAGTCACTTTTCCTTTAAAACAGGTGGATTTCCCATTAAAGGGATGTAAGATAAATACAGTTAGGCACAGTAGTGCTAATGCTAAAGCCCAGGTGAGGGGGGTGGACACCAGCAGCAGCTTCAGGCTGGGGGGGGGGGGGGGGGGGGGGGGGGGGGGGAGCGGGGTTGTTGTTTTTGTTGTTGTTGGGAACAGTTCCTGCATGGCAACAAGTCTCTACATTCTATCACAAACACTAAATAATATTCCATTTATTACAATGATACTCATGATCTCATCCTGGGGGACAGCTGTGGGACACATTCTGTTTTTACCTTTTTTTTTTAAATGTAATGTCCAGTAGGCACAGTGGAGATACTGCCCCCTGGTGGAAGGAGGGTAAAACAGTGAAGAGGTGACAGGACAGAGAGGATGCTGGACCAAGCCTGTTGGGGGGGGGAGAGATGTGGGCATGAAGCCCCGCCTACACCCCCCACTGCAGGATGCTGGTGTCTTTCCCTCCAGTGGAGATCAGGTGACTGTCGTCGTGCAGGAAGGCAATGTTGGTCACGTGACTGCTGTGGCCCCCGTACTCGTGGCTCGGAGCCTGGAGACGAGAGGCAGAGGAGGGACTGAGTGACATGTCTTTTAGGAAAATATATTCACTTTTGTTAACGTTACTCTAATTTCCAAATAATTGAAAACAACTACAGAGTAACAACAGTAACCATGTTAAACCATGTTTAAAGCAAAGTTTAATTGCAATATTGGCTTGTGCAATATTAAAATTGCAGCAGAGCCGATCTTGCATTCAACATCAGTCTAAATATTATTGTGAATTAAGTGTTGTGATGCCAGGCCTACAAATCGTATTCTACGGACTTAATAAAATATCGTGTTTGGTAGAGATCCTCTACGTTTTTTGTTTTTTTTTAAAATCACCCCATGATATTATTTTTTATATTTCTCAATGATTTCGAGAATAATAATGCAGAAATGATAAATCCCAGCAATATTGTCAATCATATTACAATTGCAGTAAAGTTGAAATGATCACATTACCTAATTTTTCCAAATCGTGCTGCTCTAGCAGAAATATTCTTATACCTTTAAAAAATATCTCTTAACCCTTCAGATGTATCTTACGAGGAACTTTGGGTGGTCCCACCCCGAGGCTAAGCAACACTGACCGTGAGAATACAAATATTTTACAGTGACAGTTCGCAAACTCAATTTCTGCCTCAGGATCCCTTTTCCCCGGAGCACAGCTGCACCTCACTCAGCTTTACTCACCCACTGTGCAAACGAGCTGCATCCCACCAGCGTCTTAAACAATAACAACGTGCTGTGGTCTTTACAGCAGGCTTTCTGAGCTAATGGCTGCCAGCTCGTCTGAGCGGACAATTAACTTTACAGCTCCAGTTAAAAAGGCCTTGGGTGTACATTTGAAGTTGATAAAAAATACCTTAAGAGTCGTAACGCGTTAGTGAGCACGAAATAAACACCTGGTAGAGATTGGTGGTGGTCCCACACTGGGAGCCAGTGGGTGAGGATTGTCTTAATCCTGCTGAGCTTCACTGTCTTACAGCGCTCATTAACACAGGGGAGAAGGCCCAATTCCAAACCGACCCATACCCCCTCCCCTCCGCACTTCCACTATGTTTGTGTATTTGTGTGGAGGGTCCACAGCTGTTCAAACCAGTGAAAGTTATTAACCCCTCCAACAGGAACGTAATAACCCCTCTAGCATGAAGTCTGGATTGGTCCAGATGAACCTGCTGCCCTACCAGAAAACATGTACTAGTAAACCAGACAAAATAACCATTTATATTTGTTATACAGATATTAAAATGTTCGAAGTACAATTTTGTGTTTTAATTAGGATCATATAAACCTGTGTCTGGTCTGGAATTTTTGTATTTCATTATAAAGTTCTGCATGTTTAAAGGGACTCTCCCAAGGAGCTCATAAGCATCAGATTTAAAATGCCTAATTAAAAAGGCCAGTAGGATTTTTCTTGTTGTCTGAGAGATGCTGATACAAAACTATGGCTTCCAAAGGTTTCTCATGTCCTGTTTCATGCCGGACAGAGGGGAGGTGGTCTCCTCACCCTCCACCTTAAAAGAATAAGCCTCATTCAGCTGATAGGGACTACAGACGGAGTTCACTCTGTCACAGAGTGGGGGGTATAGGGGTTGGTTTGGAACTGGGCCGAACACTGTGGCTGTATGGCTCTGAGCAGAGCAGAAGACATTTCAAAAACAGCAGGGGTAAACTGTTTTATAGCTTTAGATCATTAATACGTCACTGAAAAAGTGTGCACACAGACACACACACTGTTGTGCTAACAGTGTGTGTGTCTGTGAGTGTGAGTGTGAGTGTGTGTGTGTGTGTGTGTGTGTGTGTGAATGAACATGACTGACCCTTGGTTGGGAGCATGGGAAGGAGAACAAGTGCACTTTGCCAAAGTCGTCGGCAGAGGCCAGCAGGGATCCGTCATGTGACCTGCACACGGCGTTAATGTCAGTGCCGTCTGCTCCATCCGGCCAGATCCCTGAGAGGGGGGAGAGAGAAAAAGGGTGAGCGATAGGGTGAGAAAGACAAACCGTCAAACATTGAGATTCACTACATGTCCCGAGTCAAAGGTCAATCTGGACAACACTCCTCCAACAAAACTGACATGTCAAAATTGAAGTGAGGACACAAACATTGTTTTCCAAACCGCTGGGGTTTAACACCCTGATAACCTGATTTCAAAAGGTGTTTTGGACTGCTTTAGTTCAATTTAGCAGCCATCGTGCATATTTGATTTGGGTCAGATTTAGTCCGTTTTCTTGTTGCTACTCTTACATTGTTGTCCTTGTAGATGTTGCCATTTGAGCTGCTGTGATAAAAACAAACAAAAGAAGAAATCAGACTTGATCTGACAATAAAGTATTATCATATCGTATGATTGTATCATATTATCTTATCTTATCATATTGTATTATCATATCCTCGACTCATATTATCATATCGTATTATTATTATATTTACATGTATAAAGACTCCTGCATTGGTCACTTTCAACATTCTCTGCATCAATAAGCTTATTGTAGTTATGGATTTTTCTGACATGTATAGTTGACTTCATCTGCATTACTTGCATTTTGGTCTTGCAACATAATCTGCACTATTTTATTCTACTCTTGTACTATTTTTATTTTGTATTTGTTTTATGTCCTAAATACCTATGTTGCAATGTTGGGAGGAGCTCTGGACTCACGGCCCATCCACACAGCAGCGTTAAAAAAAATCTTGGAACGCTTCTGCCCATTCACTTTGAATGGGGTGACGTCACTTTGCCTCACTTTTCGCCGAACTGCATTGTGGGAAGCAGAGCGGAGATTTTCAGGATTCAAAGTTGAGCAATGTTCAACTTTTGAAGCTGAGGTGGAAGCGTCAGCCAATCAAATCCTGTGTATGCAAATCTGACAGTTCAAGCGCTAGCCAATCAAACGGCGTGTATGCTGGGAGAGACATACCGCAGGTCATTTCCTCATATTCCAAAAAATGGAGGAGAAATTAGCGGTAGGGAATCACCCGGTGCTTTATGACCAGTCCCTATTTACCTACCGGGATATAAACCGGAGGAGCCAGGCATGGAGGGAGGTGGCAGAGACAGTGGTAGGTTTTCGCCTGTTTGGGGAGTTTATATCCAGTTTACTTCGGGCTTTTTTGCTTCGTATGTCGGGGGCGGGAGATTCATGTGATTGGTTGTTGGTGCCTTGCTCGCAAAAAATCCCCAAGCTTCAGATACGCCCACCTCCAAGATTGTTTTAACGCTGCTGTGTGGACGGGCCGTTAAGGTTTGCATTGCCCTTTCTACACTGTGGCTAGTGTTCATATGACAATAAAGCCTTTGAATCTTGTGTCGTATGATTGTATCATATTATTGTATGGTAATATGTTATTATTGTATCGTATCATATTATTGTATCATATGATCTTATCGTTTTATCTTCACGTATCCTTTCTGCTTTTTGCTCAGAGCCATGCAATCCTAAAACGCACTGTGTATAGAACATTGTATTCACCCAATGACACTGCGAGAAGAAAAACATGTTGTTCATCTCAGGTGGGCTCGTAGGCTAAAGTTTAGAGGATGAAATCCCACCCAGATGCTGAAGAGTGTGACCTACCGAAGGTGTTGAAGCTCAGGGTGCAGGTGGAGGACGCCCACTCCTGGTTACGCATCGTGTCCATGCTGGTCACATGTTTACCACTGGATGCCTCCCCTGAGAGACAAAACATACATTTACATTTTGTCTGTTTGTTTAAGTCTTACATTTACATATTTTATTATCATTTCCTTTATTTGCAATGCATGTAAAGAGTAAGCTACTGTACAGGTTCATGTAAACAGAGGGAGGAGGGGGAACGTACAGAAGAGGGTCTCGTAGTCTCCTGAGTTGGTGACGATGAACTGGCTGTCTGAGGACCAGTCCAGGTGGGTGACGAAGCTGGAGTGACCCTGGGGGGGGGGGGCAGGAGGAGGTTATATTGCTTTATTAAAGGTCACACAGAGAATCAAGGGTTTCATTGATGACATCACATCAGTCAGTGGGTTTAGTTTGGTTAAAGCTGAATGGAAGAAGTGGTTACATTGTCTTGTTATCCATCTAATTATGAAGGGAACATCTTTATTTCTGTAGTAAGTTATTAAAGGTCCCATGTCATGCTTTTCCGGTTATTACCCGTCCCCTTGTGTGTTATCAAGGTTTTTCTGCATGTAAACGGTCTGCAGAGTCACAAACCCTCAAAGTACACCCTGTAGCGAGTAAAACTCTAACACAGAAAAGACCCGTCTATGCTGCCCCAAAACGCCTCGTTGGAGATTTCTCTTTTTCCATTGTTTTCTTCCTGGGTACAGTGACGTGCCCATACCCAAATGGACCCATTGGTCCAAATAGACCAATCCCTGGAGCCGTTACGTCCGCGGAGCCGTTACGTCCGCGGAGCTGTTACGTCCGCGGAGCCGTTACGTTAAGGACTTCCTCACACACACACACTCAATCTTTTCTCAGCTGCAGCTCCGCTGATTTCTCCTCCGAGACGGCGGGACGCGGTGAGGCTGTGAGTCGGTGTGTGTTCGGGCTGGGTTTCGCTGTGTCTTGCTGTCTCGCAGACGGCCACTGGGCTCATAGGGAGGGGGGGGGCAGGAGCTCCAAGGCGTTTAGGACAGAGAGTGAATACACATACTATACAGAGATGCTGTATGAGAAACCAATGTGAGTTTGGAACATTGAACAATGTAAATGTATTCTAGTAGACCTCAACAATGGAATTATGATCAGTAGAAATGGCCATGACATGGGACCTTTAAAGGAGAGGTATCATGGCCATTTCCACTGATCATAATTCCATTGTTGAGGTCTACTAGAATACATTTACATTGTTCAATGTTCCAAACTCACATTGGTTTCTCATACAGCATCTCTGTAAACTACGTGTATTCACTGAATTTCACTCTCTGCCTTTAACGGCTCGTTGTAGCTCCAAAAGCTCCAGCCCCCACCCTCCCTGTGAGCACAGTGTGCTCTGATTGGTCGGGACGTTGTGAATCGCGCTGAGCTCCGTGGAGGTGTTGCTTCCTTGTTTAGGATACATAGCGAAACACTCATCCTGAGCACACACAAAGTCACATCCGAAGTAAAAACAATAAGTGTGGCTTGATATTGAGTAAGAAAAAGGTTGATAAACGCTGTGAGAATGGGTCTGCAGAGAGAATTTCGCCGCGATCCCAACTGTCTGTTATCAGCTTGCAGCCAGGGAGGAGAAATCAGCTGAGCTGCCTGTGTGTGAGGAAGTCCGTGGATTGGTCAATTTCGTTCCTGGCCATTCACATGTCACAGTACACAGGAAGTAAACAATGGACAATGACGTATCTCCAACGAGGCGTTTTGGGGAGGTATTTTCTGTGTTAGAGTTTTACTCTCTACAGGGTGTACTTTGAGGGTTGTGACTCTGCACACCGTTTACATGCATAAAAACCTTCATAACACACAAGGGGACGGGTAATAACCGGAAAAGCATGACATGTGTCCTTTAAGTTTAACAACACACAACCAATATTCACCATTCAATTATGTTTACTTAATGTTTCTGCATTTGAACTATTTAAATGTATTTTGGGGACTGAGATATAAACAGAGAGCTGCAGGAATGAGTCCTAAAACCCAGATATGAGCTAGCATTTGACCACTTCCAGTTTCCTCGCCTCAAAGTCTTTTCAAAACAGTTTTTGAACGCGTTTGTGGTTAGAAGTCTGAAATATATACTTTTAAGGTTTTGTTCTCTGACATAAGATACGTGAGTAAAGACCCAACTGGTTTAATTTAAAAACAGTGGTTACTAACAAGTATCCAAATGAGACGACTAAACGCCATCACGCCGCACATTAGCCGCCTTTAGCTTAGCGCGGGTGACTTGAAGTAATGTCACCTTGCTGTAGTTCCTTTATAGCATAACATTAGCTTTTCACTTCTGCTGAAAAATTATAAAGTGTTGTTGATAAGTGGAGATTATCCTGCTGTACAAAACATGCAAGTATCATAAACATGTGTTTGCCACAGAGCTTATTTTCTGCAATATTTTGAAAACCAATACAAAAATCTCATTGTTTTTTGGTCAAGGGAGCGCTTGTAATGCTAACTCCTGTGAAGATGGTTATTTTAGAAACATATACTCACAGTGCATTTCCCAACACGGCTGTACTTGCGGCCATTCTCTGTCACAGCGTAGATGTAAACAAAGTTGTCATGTGATGCGACAGCCAGGAAGTTACCGTCTGCAGGAGATCAGGAAACAGTTAGTCTAAAGAGTTTATACAGGACACAATGTAGACTGAGTGTGAACAGGTGATGCTTTACCTGGAGAGTACTTGATGTTGGAAATGATCTCATTGCCGTCTGTGTGCATAGAAACAAGATCCCGGGTGTCAGTGTCTAGCACCAACCACCTGCAACACACACACACACACACACACACACACACACACACACACACACACACACACATCACACACACACACCACACACACACACACACACACCACACACACACACACACACACACACACACACACACACACACACACACACACACACACACACACACATCACACACATCACACACACAACACACACATCACACACATCACAACACACACACCTCACACCACCACACACACACCCACACAACACACCACCAACACAACACACACACCACACAACACACACGACCAACACCACAACACACACACCACACACATCACACACACACACAACACACAACACACACCACACCCACCACACCACACACACACCACACAACACCCCACACACCCACACACACACACACACAAATGCCCCCCTTAGAAGTTCACACAACCAAGATGATGTCTTGTTATGTACAACAAATACATATATTAACAGTATATACTGTAAAAATGTCTCCATTGGTCAATTATTGTTATTTAATTTCTGATAAATAACCAACAAATGTATTGCTTGTTTCAGCATTATATTAGCTAACTTGTTTCCAGAGTGTAAAGACCTTGAGAGTCAATGTATTGATTCATTCCTCTGTGAGTTAACCATTTCAGATCAAAAGCATTAGGATTAAATACAAATAATGAAAACTATAGATGCAACAGCTACATACATGTAGGTTAGGGTAGTTTTATTTAATATGATTTATTTATTTTTTGATACTAAAATGCAATACATACGTGTGTTTGAATACCACATGTAAATGAAAAATAATTCCCCTTTTTGCTTGGCCTATAATATTTTTCTAATTTAAATATGTATATCTAAATAGATATTTAAAAAGATGCAGATATCCCTCTTAAAGCAGCCCCCCTGCAGAACTATAGCCTAGCTGTGGTGAATAATAGTTGTGCTGCCTGCTCTGAATGTTGTGTTTCTGCAGTGTAACTGTGAGGCCGACCTTCCAGTCATGGTTCCCACAGCCAGAACCCCCCCCGCTGGGATGGAACCCTGCAGACCTCCCTGGATCCTGGAGCAGAGACAGCATGAATGAGTACATGCAACCCTTGGTAACAAAGACTTTACATTTCAGTCCTTCACATCCTGATAGATAGATAGATAGATAGATCGTACTTTATTGATCCCAAATTGGGAAATTGTTTTTGTTACAGCAGCATAAAAGGCATTTTACAATAAAACAAAATATACAAGAATAGAAATAAAATAAAATAAAATATAAAATATACATGTCGAAATAGAAAATATACATGCAGATATTATATATATATTATATATGTATTCACATCCTGATGTTTCAGGACCAGAATACATCTCCACCCCCCAGCAGACAGTCACCTCGATGGTCTTGCTCCAGAGGGGCTGATGGGAGTTGGTGTCCCAGAGGTGAACCTGTTTGTCCTGAGAGCAGGTGACAAACTGCTCCATGGAGGGGTGGACGTCCAGACCCCACAGCTCGTCCGTGTGACCCTGAACACATCACATGTCTCAGTTAATACACCAGACTGCAGCGTGCACAGATATGTCTATAAGCACCTTTAACTGATAACAAAATGATCACGATTCTTACTTTATTTTCACATCTCGTTTTATATTGTTGTATCTTTTATTTGCACATTCCTACTCCTGATGTTTATATTCATATCTTTATCTTTTCATCTTATATTTTATGCTTATATGGAACTGTCACAAAACGTAATTTTCTCAGGGGTAAATAAAGTATTTCTGATACTGAAATGTGCTCTTCTTAAAGCTTACAGTGTGTGTGTGTGAGTGTGTGTTTGTGTGTGTGTTTGAATGTGTGTGTGTGTGTGTGTGTGTACCTGTACAATAGGAGTCAGTGTATCAGGGAAGGCGGCTCTGATGATAGCGTTCTTTGTGGTTCCTACGAAGAGTTCTCCAGGTTTACCCTCAGCCAGAGCCCGCACAGGACCCAGAGACTCGCCCACCTGAACACACACACACAAACACAAAGCACACACACTCCCTTACAGACAGCTCATATAGTCCTGTTAAAGGATCTTAAACCCTGTATATAGCAAGAAAGATAACAACTTTAAAATAATGCCAAGAAAGAAGGACCTATACAATAGATGCTTCCCAACAAATGTTAAAGACACACTGATTTCCTCCTCAACATGATTATGTCTCAGTCTCTCTTCCCTCACCTCCATGTCGGCCTGCTTCTTGTAGTCGTGGTCCCACAGCACCACTTTGCGGTCCTTCCCCCCCCCGGACACCATGGTGCCGTCCTTCAGGACACAGACAGAGAAGATCCCGCCCTCGTGGGCCCCCGACACCACCTGGCTGATGCGGTACCCACCTGTCAATCAAAACAAACAGGTCAGTCAAAAACCAGATCTTTTACAAGTGAGAAAACATCCCCTGACACAGAGCCCAGGGAACATGAGTAGCACTGCTGCATTAACATTCAGAGGTGGGAAGTGACTAAGTACATTTACTCAAGTACTGAACTTGAGTGCAATTTGGAGGTACTTGTGCTATACTTGAGTATTTCCATGTTATGCTACTTTGTACTTCTACTCCACCCATTCAGAGGTAAATAATGTACTTTTACTCCACTACATGTGTTTAATATAAGAGCTAAATCCCAGATCAAATGCACGCCAAAGGTTCTTTGAGCATGTTTTCTCTCAGTGATAGTGATGTTATGTTAACCGTTTTCTTTTTTTTCATGTATTGTATTGTGATATTTGTCCATGTTGATGTTAAAAATGGAGCTGCTGGGATGCAAGTCAAATTTCCGACTTGATCTGACCATTAAAGTATTATCGTATCGTATAATATCGTATCGTAAAGTAAACTCTGGTACTTCTGAGCACTTCTCCCACCTCTGTTAACATTTTTAACATCAACATGCACAAATATCAAGACACAATACATGAAAAAAAAGAAAACAGTTAACATGTCATCATGACTTCTTTTAGTGTTGGAGAGAGCATCTCTAAATATCTGTAAACAATATCTGTATCATTGCGATGCATTCAGGCTCCACCTTTGGCCCAGACGTAGATGTTCCCACTGGAGTCTCCTGTGATGGCGTCTCCGTTCTCAGCGAACGCCACACACAACACGTACTTTGGCTTCTCATGTTTCTATAGAGAGACATAGAGAGAGGGGGGGGGGGGTTATTGCACAAATGACTGCATTTGGTTAGCTGCATCTAATGTAAAAAGAAAAGGAAGGAATACATCCTTGACATCTTTTTGCTTCTGTGCTGTTTGCGAATATGTAAATAAGGTGATGTGCTTAAATCTGGAGTTAAATGTACCTCTTTCTATGCAAATGAGTTTAATTGCAAAAACAATCTAATTCAGATCAGTGCTAACAGCCACATGGGGAAATCAGATTAGATATACTTTATGTATACTAAACTGGACCCAGAATCCACTTCAAATCATGCCACCTGAAGTCATTTAGCTCTTGCATTTGTCCCTATTATTTCCATGAGAAGTGCCATTTAAATACTAAATATTATTATTATAATCATCAGGCTTATTATTTACAGTCAGACTGGGATACTGTTTTCAAAAAGGGTTTCTCTCCGTCAGGATGAAACTCTTTGCCCGCACCTCATCAGGCAGGACCTGTAGCTTGAGATCTGAAAATGTCATTTTCTCTTTCTCTTTCATATTTAGTTTTCCTCGTTTGTTTTTGGCGCAAAGGCAACCTTAATACTTCTTCACAACAACTGCAGTTGATAATTTCAGTTAGCGGCAAAAAACGATATACAAGTATTTGTGTTGTTCCTCATTAGCATAATATATATTTTTAGAATTTTTCTTTTTTAAGTGTGATGATGTTTAGGAGAGTGGTATGATCAGTTGCCGCACCTCGAACAGGCCCTGTCTCTTGGTCAGAGTGTTGCCCTCCATGGTCCAGAAGTTGATGTGAGATTTTCCACAGGTGACAATCAGGTTGGCATCCATTGGATGAAACACAGTGGCCAGGACAGAGTCGTTGGAGCACTGCAGAGACAGGAGGAAACATGTTTCTCTGCCTCACAGCAAGCATTTACAATATCGCAACCCATGCTGATAATATATACTGTTTGTTAATGATAAACAGGTCAACTATAATAATGCACCTGTATAAAGAGGTTCAATTGTCAAAGGTCAAAGGTCAGGGTACCTTAACATCAGCCAGTTGCTTCTCCTTCTGCCAGTTCCACACACTCAGGATGTGGTCGTTGGCGTCGTCCGCAGCGCAGAGGAAGGAGCCGCCGTTCTGAGGGAAAACAAGGAGTTTAGAAAAAGCATTTTTTATTAAAATGAATGTACAGTATATGAACTGTGCTTATTATCAAAGCCTCAGCTCTACAGGATGTGAAGCTGCTCACCGACTTGGAGAAAGCCACGCAGGAGACGGCTCTGTCGAACACACCCATCCCGATCACATGCAGCGTGTTGAGGCTCACAGAGTCCCACACACGCACGTGAGGAGCCAGCAGCTGGACACAGGAGAGCAGAGCGTTAACATCTACACAAACATTTGGGAGGACATTGCAATTTCTTTGTTATTAGTTCATAAGAAGTTGACAAAATTAAAAAAAACAAGGACGCAACTACAAATACAAAATTGTAAACTTTAGTAATTCATTCCATTCAGCCAATTGGAGGTTGAAGGAACAATGTCAGAAGACAGTAACAAGAAGAAGAAAAAAGTTCAAATAGCATGGAGTGTGTGTGTGTGTGTGTGTGTGTGTGTGTGTGTGTGTGTGTGTGTGTGTGTGTACGAAGGGAGGGTTTGCTTGTGTGTTAATGTCTGTTATGACAACTGTTTTTCATCAACAGTTATTTGTTTCTATCTTCTTTAATTAATTTTAAAAATATTTGGGTAAATATGAAAATGATCTAACCCGTTATAAGTAATCATACGGTAATCAAACCCTTACTCTCTCAATAAAAAAATAAAATTATAGAAAAAACAAATTAGCCAGTGTCAGACAAACTGCACATCTGCTCATTTATATACAGTGTATATATATTTCTAAAATGTCTTAGTATTTTTACTTGTGATATTGTTTTGCTTGTCTTGTCTCTGTAATCAGCTATTTTGGTCTGTTTGCCTTTTAAATACCTACTTTAAAGTCATCTGTGTCAAAATGTATTAAGTGAGTGAAACAGAGAGTCAGTAGGAGGATGTGAGCGGTGCTTTCACAGTACCTTTCCATCTTTAGAGGTTCCAGCCACTTGCCCCGTTGCTATGGTAACCATGTCAGGATGCACACTCAGGCTACGAAGAGAAAAATGCAAATTAGTACATTTCTTTCCCGCCTCTGGCTTTTATGCAGATTCAAACAGCTGATTCGGATCAAACATATCACTGGGAGAATGTAATCACTACATTTTGTCACGACAGGAGATGTTTTTAGGATTTACCATCACTTGATATTTTTTCATGACTGACACTGTTTTAATTTGGCACCTGCTTTCTATTTAGGACATTAAAACTACAGGAATCAACACTAGAAGAGGAGTATTTGATAAGATGGTTGTTTCCCTGCAGAGAGGAGCTGCTTTCCCAGCATGCCCCAGGGGGATTCAGTGTATTTACATCCATGTGGCTCCAGTCCGTATGTCAGCTACCACTCACTAAGTAAATCCCATTCATGATAAACACCGTCCGGCATGGAGCTGTGATGATGTGTTCCATATAAGCTAATATCTTATAAAGAGTCACTCCTCCAATGAAACTAATGATTCTACATCCTGTTGTGAAATACACTCCAGCTGCTCTCTGTAGATAATTGTACATATGGACTACACACAGTACATCAATACTGGAGTATTTCATTCAGCACAAAGGTTATATGTTTACATGCACAGAGGAACAAAGGGAAATGAAGGAAGAGAGCTTATCCTGCATAAGCTCTCTTCCTTCATTTCCCTTTGTTCCTCTGTCAAAATCAAACAGCATGTTACTCGACTTGAGGGTACTTCTGATATTTAAAACATTCTGAGGACCACCCATCTTAAATGAGAACAAAGAACATAATGCAACATAAAAAGGAGAATAAATGATCAGTATATACGTGTTATTTATCTCAGCAGTAAACCCTAATGACCATTCTGACACCAGATTTAATGTAATGAGAATATTATTTCCTAACCACGCACTTTGAATTCTTTACTGGCGTAGGGTATTCATTTTGTTTTAAAAACGGTCCGTTTTGTGTCACTGCATCTGATGGAATTTTAGCAAGCTAACAATAGCAAAACATCAATGTCTCTAGATGACATAAATTCATCCACATGGTAAAGGGCACTTATAATAATAATATATAAGTCGCTTTGGATAAAAGCATCAGCTCATTTTATTTTTGTGAATTCTTCAGTATATTTAGATATGAAAACTGCAAAGTCATCACATATAAACAAATATTTAAATATACATTTAGTCTAAAAAAACTATGAAATATTAGCAAGAGCCTCCTCAGCCCACTAGATGGCGCTCTGAAGCCCACCAATAGTTAAGAATAGTTGCCCTGCACTGAACCCTTGTTTTAAAGCTGTGCTCTTCCTCACCACTTGACGTCGTCGTTGTGGCCCAGGTAGTGCCTCTGCTGCTGCTCCTCCGTGTTGTACAGCACCACCACGGAGGCGTTGAAGTACACGATCTCTCCGGTGGGCAGCAGGTAGAGGTTGGAGCGGCAGTCACGACCTCTGTAGCCGTACCTGGTCCACGATTTAGTTAGGGAACAAGAGGGGTGCAGCTGGACCAGCAGAGAAAACACTGATATTCAGTTCTTCAGTATTTCCAAGGAAAGGTCGACCCACAGAGAATGAAGCTAATGCTGCTTTTACAAGCATACTGGCTTTAGGTAATCATCCATGTACAGTGGCAAGAGCTGTTTGGAATGTTATGGTTTTATGCATTAATTGGCAATTCAATTTGATAAATCCTTAATATAAGTCACAATTATAAACTCAAAAAGTGCTAAATTGTTTCATTTGGTGACAATGTGTCTGACAATAAATGTCTTGGAGATACTGTGTAACCCCCCCAGCTTTATGCAAATCAATTCTTTATCGTACATCTTCTGAAATCTCTTTTCTGCAAGGCAGGTTCACATCAGCAGATGCTTCTTATGAATATTAAACTAAAAATGTTTGAATGTTTTTCATAAGTGAAAATCAAACCACAACTCCACTGATTGAAACAAAGTCTGCTCACTCCTAACTTCATTAGCTTGTGTTGAACTCCAGGGATTCACATCCTTCCAACCTACACTGTGAATGTTTGAATGACTTATTCAATATGGACAATACTTATGCAATGATTTGTTTGCTTGTTATTAAACTGATTGGGTTTGTTGCTTTCTGTAACAAACCATATTTCAGGATCATTTTATACCTAAAAGCCGGTTATTCCGAACAGTTCACTCACTTTTCCTTGCCACTGACTGATGGAGAATCTAAAGGTTGTACGAGCTAAAGTTTATACGTAACCCTGTTTATTAATAAAGTCTAGCATTCATTCAATTATATTCCTCTGTTCATCTATGTTTCAGGTTTTCAAATCTGAAGACACAGTGTCACATCCTCTGATCACAATAATAATCCATTCATTTCTTATTCATTCATCCAAAGCTTCATCAGTGTCCCTCTGCGGTCTGAAGGATACACCCACTGCAGTTTGAGCTTGCGGTCAGGCAGCGCCCCCTTGTAGTCCAGGCTGTAGCTCTCCCTCTGCTGGTCAGGGAGGTGCATGGTGACGGGGCGGCCTCGGAGGAACATCCTCACATAGCCGTCCTCTGGAGGCCAGGAGAGGGGGGTGGGGGGGAGAGAGACGGGAGGTTCAGTGGAGAGAAGTAAACAGAGAAACAAAAGTGCAGAGAGAAGTAGCAGAACACACGTATGGAATGAGATAAATAAGACTATAACAAAGTATTTGATCTGTGTCTGTCTTTAAAAAGAGCTTACAGCTGCAGCAGTTATTAAAATGAATTTGAAAGTTAGAATACAGTAAATGTCTGTGGAGTTCTTCACAAGTTATTCTGAAATGCATTTCATTTGTACCATTATTTTACCTTGCAGGGTTTCTTATATTTGACCTATTTTAATCCAATGTTTAAACTTAATGATGAATGTTTTGGGAACATTTAGTAGTTACTGTAGGGTTAGATTAGTTTAAGGGTCTTTGTGTTCATTTGTAGCTCTTAAGTGTTCCTGTATAATACATTTATTGCACATATTTTTTGTTTAGAGTCTGGGCCTCTATTCTGAAGCTTTGGGTCGTTTTTCGGGGTGTCCCATTTGACATATCTTCATTTTGTCTTGTATTTTAACAAAACGGGGGCTGAAAAGAAAAAACGGTTCCGAACCAGAAAAGCACGGAGCTAGAACGGGAACCGCGTTGGTGTGAAAGGGGCAACAGACACAAAAAGTGCCTCGGATGTTTTGTGGTTCTCAGCTCCTCTTTCTGAACACTCTTTTATTGCCAATGTAGAGCCTCCTTAGTCATTCTAATGAATGTTCAATATTACTTATGAGAAATATGAAACCCTTTAAGAGTACTTCATGGACTCCTGAACACCAATTAATTTCACACATGAAGGCTGCTCATCCTCCTAACAGCCAATTAAAGTGATGGGACTGTAGGACATAATGACCACACACACACACACACACACACACACACACACACACACACACACACACACACACACACACACACACACACACACACACACACACACACACACACACCACACACACACACACACACACACACACACACACACACACACACACACACACACACACACACACACACACACACACACACACACACACACACACACACACACACACACACACACACACACACACACACACACACACACACACACACACACACACACACACACACACACACACACACACACACACACACACACACACACACACACACACACACACACACACACACACACACACACACACACACACACACACACACACACACACACACACACACACACACACACACACACACACACACACACACACACACAAGTGGAGTACAAACTCAACGTACCTGCATTAAAGGAGCATTCTTTGGTTTTGCTGAAACAGAAAACAGAAACATCAATGAAATGTTTCTAATAAGGATTAGAGCATAACAGGGTTCTGGGTTTGGCTTTCATCCATAATGGGAACATAATGGAAGTACCAGTAAGTACATTTAACAATACACACAGAATATATCATCGTTCTTTTCCTGACACTTTGTTCCACAACATCAGGATACTACATTATTTATGGTTAGCTGCAACCCCTCACCACATGTCACATTACCAGACAATAAGGATGTCTGTGAGCTTCAGAGCACTGAGTCAGCAGAAACACAGACCATGCATCACAGAATGGAGACCTGGAGGTCAGCTCTTATACCCCTGCACTTATTGTCTGAGAGGATGGACTCTGGAGGCAGGATTAAGTTCCCTCGAGCTTGGAAATAATGTTTCTATTAAGGGTACAGATTAAATGGAATGTTCTACATGCATCACACTTGTAAAAGCAACAGTACCATATTTCTGATTTACTTTTTAAAATCAACATGTATCATTTCAATGTGAAATGGTGTCATTAAAAAGTTTCTAGGGGTTGTTGTTCAAAATCAAAAGGAGGTCGACCATACAGTATTACATTTTGTGTGTTTTTTTGGGGGCAATTTGGCAATTTTCAGGCTCTGTACTTTCAACAAACTCCTCCTACAGATTTAATCTGAGTCAGATATGGCCATAACCTTTTTACCTTCTTACTTTGATGATCAAAAGTTATTAAAGGGGCCCTATTGTAATCATTGTAAGGTTCATGTTTGTATTTTATAAGGGGGGAGTGTGTGGGAGAGAAACTACAGTATATCTGTAGGGAACACAGGGATGTTAGCCTTTGCAAACCATTTACATGCACTAAAACCTTTAGAACACGCTACAGGACAGGGAAAACCCCAAAAAGTATAATAGTGCCTCTTTAAATGATTTCTGTTACTTGGAACGCTCCTGCCGCGGCGTGATAAAACAGGGAGTGGTTATAACTTGAACGTTTGGTTTCCAAACTGCTCCAAATGTATTGTGCTTGATAAAAATCCCAACCTTGAGACAGATCAACATTGTGTCATAGTGCAGCACATCACAGTCCAGGCGAGACATAATGTCCACTAGTGAGTTCAGGCTCAAACAGTTACGTTAATGCATTGCAGAGTAAATTGGCACCAGGCCAGTACTCCCCAGGCTCGTTGATGTGCCAGGACCTGCACATAGATTTAATGTAGTCTCAACAGTTGGGCACAGTCTTTGTTATTGTAAAAGATAGAGAGCTGAAAACACAGCTCTGTTTTCCTTTCATGAAAAGAGGAAATGGAAAACTAATGTGACTGTGAAGACAGTTTGATAAAGAGTGTTTGATCAAGTCAGCAGACACAAAGCAAACAGAGAAGCCTTATTATTCATGTACCACACATGGATGGTGACAGTGTTATCAGCTAAACACACAGTGAATGCTGCGCTCTGCCAAACTGTGAGACAGAGGAAGATCAAAGAGGACAGAGAGAGAATCCTGCTGTCCCCAAAGGTCATATAAAAAGGCTGAATGTACTTGTATAAAAACATTACAAAAGTGAGTCAGCCACATTGCCAAAATCCATATTTACAGCTGTCAATCAAAACCTGTAGCTGCATCCTCAGCTGTTCCTGAATCAGCCGTCTGTCAGCCAATCAGGACTGCCCGCTGAGCATTTCAGAGCACGCTCAGCCTCAACCTGTCAGGATGCTGTCAACCAATAAGATCAGTTGTTGAAGCGCTGCCTCAGCTGACAGGTGGATATCTCCATGGCAACAGCAGTAAAAGTAAGGCTTGATAAGATAAGGGAAATTGAAGGCTTGTCTCTTGCTGCTCAGCAACAGGAGAGTACGGGGCGATGGATTTGACTATCCTGAGTGTGTGGTGGAAATGCAAAGAAAAGAAGTGAAGAAGCTGACTTAAAATATTATAATAAGTAAACTTAGCAAATGTTTATCAAACTCAAACAATGCAATTTGGGGAGTAACACGGAATGTAAACTTAACCTTTGCTTGTTAAAAAAACACTGAACATGACACCTTAAAACAACACAATGAACTGTGTTTGTTGCATTTGTTCCTGAGAAAAGCCTCAGCGCACTGTCTCTGAGCCCGTCAGGTCATATGTGGGCATATGTTTGGATATGGCCGTTTCCAATTTAAAATCAGATTGTATCACGCTGCAGCATGCGCTTCTTGATTCTAAACTGCTATTGAACAGTAAGAAAACCAAAGCAATGCTTTTTGCTCCCAAGTCAGCGTCCTCCTCTTGCCTCTCCATTGACACCCTTGATGGCGTTTCTGTTGAATTTGTTGATACCTACAAATATCTGGGCTTTTGGTTGGACAGTAATCTGAACTTTAAACACCATATTGAAGTTTTAACAAAGAAATTGAAATTCACTCTTGGCTTCCTTTTCAGATTTAAATGTTGTTTTTCAACTTCATCCCGTAAAAGGTTGGTCTCTGGCTTATTCCTGTCCTAGCTGGACTACGGTGATACCATTTATAGATTTGCCTGTCCCACTGTTTTGGCCAAACTTGACCCACTTTACCATGCTGCACTGCGTTATATATCAAATGCACCCTATAGGACTCATCATTGCACACTGTATAGCCTAACTGGATGGTCCTCACTTACTATGCGTAGGATGCAGCATTGGTTTTTATTAATGTATAAAGCCATTTTAGGTAAGCTTCCACTCTACATATGTGTCAGATTTGCCCCAGTTTGTGACTCTTACAACCTCAGATCCAGTGCCTGGATACGGTTCCAGGTACCTGCTCTGCGGACTGAGGCTGGAAAAAGGAGTCTTTCTTATTATGGTCCTTGGTCTTGGAATGACCTTCAATCACGCCTTAAACTGAGGGCATTTGTCTCTATTTCATGTTTTAAATTGAAGTTGTCTGAAGTCCTCACCACCAGCTGCTCTTGCAGTAACAAGTAGTGTACTTTTTTTATTGTCCTAATGTGCACAATGTAGTGACTGCTTTTTCGTCTTTTGTTTTCTTTATGTTCTCTGTATTTTATATGTTTGTGTTATGTGTTATGTGTAACGTTGCTGCCTTCTTGGCCAGGTCAGCATTGAAAATGAGATTTTATCTCAATGTTTTTTATCTGGTTAAATAAAGGTTAAAAAAAAAAAAAAAAAAAAAAGTGAAGTGTTTTCCTAGAATTGTTGCTCTTTTACCGTAAAGTACGTCTGCAACAATGTGTTTCCATAAAAAGGCACACAAGAGAAGAGAATAATTACTAGTCAGAGAAGATGAGGGCTTGCACTAAGTGTGTGTTTGAACACAAAGCATTTGGAGATCAGAAGACAGTCTCTGGGCAGCCGGAGGTGACCAGCCTGGGTGTCGGCTCTTTAAAGTCCCCATATAAAGGTCGTCTCTGTGTTTTTCTCTCTGTGTGTGTGTGTGTGTGTTTTCTCTCTCTGTGTGTGTGTGTGTGTGTGTGTGTGTTTTTCGCTCTCTGTGTGTGTGTGTGTGTGTGTGTTTTTCGCTCTCTGTGTGTGTGTGTGCGTGTGTGTGTGTTTTTCGCTCTCTGTGTGTGTGTGTGCGTGTGTGTGTGTTTTTCTCTCTCTGTGTGTGTGTGTGTGTGTTTTTCTCTCTCTGTGTGTGTGTGTGTGTGTGTTTTTCTCTCTCTGTGTGTGTGTGTGTGTGTGTGTTTTTCGCTCTCTGTGTGTGTGTGTGTGTGTGTGTTTTTCGCTCTATGTGTGCGTGTGTGTGTGTGTGTTTTTCGCTCTCTGTGTGTGTGTGTGCGTGTGTGTGTGTGTGTTTTTTGCTCTCTGTGTGTGTGTGTGTGTTTTTCGCTCTCTGTGTGTGTGTGTTTTTCACTCTCTCTGTGTGTGTGTGTGTGTGTGTGTGTGTGTGTGTGTTTTTCACTGTGTGTGTGTGTGTGTGTGTGTGTGTGTGTGTGTGTGTGTGTGTGTGTGTGTGTGTGTGTGTGTGTGTGTGTGTGTGTGTGTGTGGTCTGCTTGGAAGATGAGGCATGGCACAGTCCTAGCCTGTAGGAGTCTGTAATGAATGCAGGGCATGCTGGGTAACTGGCAGCCGGACAGGGCAAATAACTGTGGATCTTAAACCCTTACGGCTGTAGTCCCAGAGACAAGATTTCCAGGGAGAGGGAATGCACAAACAGACCTCTCATTACCACGCAGCGCTCAGTGTGTTGTCGGCATGTTCCGCCTGGCTGCACACAAACAACTGGTTTGTGTTAGAACCAATGAGCAGTTATGGAGTGCTGTAGTGATGAAAAGCTATTTTTGTAGGCCAAGACCGAAGTTAGCATCCCAAGGGCTCCATCGACAAAAAGCACTGGGATTTTTTGATTTGATTTTGGAATATTGTAGAAAATAAGATCTGTATCAAACACACGTTTTTGATAATTCCACGTTTGTTCAGCAGGATAATCTCGATATATTAACATGACTTTTATGGTTTTGAAGCATACATTTTTTTGCCAGGAGTAAAAACCTAACAGTAGGCTATAAACCAACTACATCACGGTCACATGACTTCACAACACCAGTTCTAAGCTAAAGGTGGCTAATGTTCGTCTTGATGATAAGGGAACCCAAAATGCTAACTAATTTCTAGGTTTTAGGTCTCATTCCTATACAACTCTACAGGTATAGAAGCAGACCAGCAACTTGTAAATAATGATTTATGTATCTATAACTTGATCCCAATTTGAGATGTTGAATTGGTGGTTTATTCAAAGTATAAATGTAGAACTGCTTCTTGTCTGCATCTACTTACTGTACAGTCCTGAGATTGCAAGATTTGATGGCATCTGGAAAGCTAGAATGTTTGGATTTTTTTTTGGCTTTAACGCTCAGTTCCAATTTATTTCTCAGATGCGATTTGTTCAGCTTCCTACAATAGTATTTTTCAGAATGAGATTTTAGTGGACCCTCACGTCCCTTAACTTAGCTTCAAGATCAACAACAAACATTTGCTGTTGTAAAATAAATAAACATGTAGGCCATTAAAGTTAGAATT